GTTCTCCATCCCTGTTTATGCCTTTTCCAGAATGTCATAGAAATGGAACCACAGAACATAGCTTCTTTCACTTCACATAATGTGTTTGAGATCTGTCCATGATGTTGTATGTTATCAGTAGTTCTATTCCTTTTGTTTCTGAATAGTATTTTATATGTGTACACTATAGTTGGTTTATCCATCCCACTGGAGGGACAATTGGATTATATCCAAGTTTTTTTTGTGTGTGTGGAACCAGGGATTGAACTCAAGCCCTTGCACTTGCCAGGCAAGCACTTATTCTACTGAGCTATCTCCCCAGCCTATTTCCAGTTTTTGATAATGACTAAGGGTCAACGTCTAGGAGCTGTTTTTGCTGAATCACGTGCTATCAGCTTGTGTACCTTTGTAAGAAACTGCCAGTTCTTTCCAGGAAGACCACATTATTTTGTACTCCCACCAGCAGTTCATGAGAGTTTCAGTTGCTCTCTGTCCTCATCAACACTTGATAATGTCAGTTTATAAAAAAAATTTAGACCTTTCTAGCAACTGTGTAGTGGCATTTTGTTTGACTTCGATTTTATTTTGCATTTCCCTAATGACTAGTCATCTTAAGCACCTCTTCATGTGCTTATTATTTGCCATTTATAGATCTTCTTTGGTGAATTACCTTTGTTCAGTGCGCGCGCGCACGCGCGCGTGTGTGTGTGTGTGTGTGTGTGTGTGTGTGTGACTGAGTATCACAACTCAGGTTGCTTTGCCCTGAGTTGCATCCCCAGGCCCTTTTAATGTTTTTGAGGTACATCCTGGTATCTCAGCTTGATTTTCTGATCCTCCTTCCTCAGCCTCCCAGAGTGCTAGGCTTATAGGCACGCTTCACTTTACCTGGTTCTTTGCTTGGCTTTCTAGAAGTTTTAACCATTCGGAGGTCCAAGAATCAAGAAATGATTATTCTTTTTTTGACAAATCTTATTAAAACGTCAGAATGAGAATAAAACTTAAAGTTCATTTAAAATAATTATTTTTTAAAAAACATTATAAAAATATCACCTATGAGCAACAAGATACAAATACTAAGGAGGAGTCATGAAACACGGAGAGCCGGGACATTGCTGTGCCTGCTCCTGCTCAGTGTCCGCCGCGGACGTCCTTCTGTCTTGGGCTCGCTCAGCACTTTCTCCCTGCCCCGCGCCCCATGACCTCACGCGCTCTGAAGGCTACTCCGAGCCAGCACTGCGCGTCCAGTCCCTCGCTCCCCTAGCTCCAGCCCGCTTTGTCCAGCTGCCTCTTAACTCTTCCAGGTTGTAAATAGAATCTTGTGTAATGCAGCGATCTCGGTTTTGGCCCTTGGTCTTGCTCTTTGTCCAGTCTTTTTCATTATAGGAAGTGGACGCCGTTCCTCCACTGGACAGCACCACAAGTCTCCCTCTCCTTCAGACCTGATGTTCAGGCCTTTAGCGGGGTCCCTCGAAGTGCCTTGCCTGTGACCCCCGCCCACTGGTGCTGTCGCCGCGTCTGGTTTGCATAGGCCTCGTCTCCTGGCTCTGCTCCACACGCGTGCGTCTGGCATTCTGATCTGCAAACAGTAGCCTTAGGATTATTTAAAGACACAGATCATATCTTCTCCTTCCCCAGCTCTCAGATCACACCAGGGGCCTTAAAAAAATCATAATCTTAATCAGATCTGTATTATTTATTTGTTCTCAGCTATAAGACCCTGCCTAACCTGGCTTCAGCAGATCTCTTCAAAGTTCTCTACCCTGTGACACTTACTCTTGCTCACTTCTGCTGTCAGCTGTTATTTGAACGCATGTTCATTCACCACATAGGGCTTTGCATGTGTTGGTCTTCACCTGGGGTCTTGAGTGCAGGGAGGCGCTCACCTGCTGAAAGGTCCCCTGCCATGGAGGAATCTTCTTTCATGTACCTGCCCTCGTCCCACCTTGTCCTATCTTCACATTCTGCCTTATCGTATTATAGAATTTGCCACTACCTGATTGATTGATTGATTGATTGATTGATTGATTTACTGTCTGCCTTCTTTGCTGAAATGTAAGTTCCACGAAGGTGGAGCTTTGACCGGTATCCTCACCTTCAGGGGCAGAAGCGAGGCCATAGAGGAAGCTTGGCGAATATTGCAGGCAGGTTTGCATACAGCTTAGTGCCTGCAGATTCCTGTGTACCTGTTTCCCTCCCACTCCTTGCAGAAGTTACCACTGTGAAGAGCGTGGGAACCAGCTCTCTGAACTCCCAAAATGCGCTCAGCAGTGCAGCAAGGTATCTTTTTAGGATAATGAAAGGTGTTTTATGCCATACCTTTTCTCTCTTCATCGTATATTTAGATATTTTTTCTAGTAGTTCATCTGTTTAGGTAGATATTTTTTTTTTGAGATAACTACATACTTCAGGCTGTTCTTGAACACACTATGTAGCCAATCATGGCCTCCACTCGTGGTTGTCCTCCAGCCTCAGCCTCTTACGTGCTGGGATTAAAGACAGTCCACAGTATAGACTACCACAATTTACTTAGTCATTTCCTTATTAATAAGTATGTGCATCATGTTCACCTTTTCATAATTATAAACAAGGCTGCAATGACTCTTTTTTTTTTGAACCAGGGATTGAACTCAGGCCCTTGCACTTGCCAGGCAAGTGCTTGTTCTACTGAGCATCTCCCTGGCCCACTTATACATAAATCTTTGTACACGTGCACAAATAGAATAGTTAAACTGTAGCAATGCTTCTTAAGAACATGTTATATACTACTTTCTCCTCCTAATAACTTACACTATTTTGCACTACCAGTACCAATATGTGTCTGTTTCTCCACATCTTTGACAATGCTAGGTTATCGTCACACTTTCATAATATTGTCCCATGTCAGTAAAAATGGTCTAAACTGAGTGGTAAGATCAGTGGTCCAAGAGGAAGGCAGTATGCAATGTGTTAATTATTGGAACTGTCCTACCAGTTTGATTTGAAACTGTCTCATTGCTTTTTATTTATCAATAAAATTATCGAAAAAAATAATAAAATAAAATAAAATACATGAAAGAAGTCACATGGGGGAGAAAGATTTGTACTAGTAGTGTTTAAACAAGATATCATGTCTGCATGTTGTGCTATGAATAACTACTATGAAAACAACAATATGCAATGTATTGTTGTAACTGTCCTACTAACCTGTTTTGAAGCTGTCTCATTGCTATTTCTCAATGAAATTATTTTTTTAAAAAAGAAAAAGGTCAGTGGTAAAGCACTTGCCCTGGGTAAGTGAGGTCCTGGGTTCAACTCCCAGCACTGCAAAAGAAGAAGATGATCAAAAACTTGATTTAGAGGTAGGAAATACACATTTTTCTAGGCCAATAAGCTCCTGTTTCTAGATTATAAATTAGCCTGATTAAAAAAAGAAAGCTTGTCCCTTCTGAAAGAAATGGAGTAAATTAATGGAGAAAAGTGACTTGAGGTGAGAAACATCTGCCTAGAGATCTGAAACCACAAGCCCTGGCTCCTAACTTTCTTCCTATAAAATATTCCCCAATTATTTTTTCTTGAAAGAACCAACAACACAAAAGTTCAAGTATTAGAGTTGTCTGGAGAGTAAGTGGAGGTTGTAGCACTTGTGGTGAGTTATTGTTATTTGATAACTTGGTGGTTTCTGCTGGACTTTCTGGGTGTGCACTCGAAGAACAAGAGAAATTTCCTGTTTTGGTGGCTAGGACTGGTGTTCAGAACGGGGGCACAGGCATGAGGAGCAGTGCCAAATCGGAGCAGAGAGCTGGCTCGCCAGCTGCACCCAGGGCTTCCACGGCGGCTGTCAACTTTAGGCCAGACCTAGCTTTTGCTTGCTTATAGTCCATCTTTGGGGCTGTGCAGAGACCCAAGGGGCACCTGAATCTTCTCTGTGTTCGTCAGCTCCCAACAAGAGAGGGACAGTTTTGCGGCATCAGCTATTAGAGTTTGAAAGGCTCACTGCGGTAGCCCCTTTTACTACCCAGGTGACAGCACTGAAGCCCAGAGAGGCAAAATGACACATCGGGATCAAGACACTCCAAACCCGGTGTTATTAAGCAAAGAAGTGAAAGAGGTTTTTCATTTGAACTTCAAAGACTTAGATTATCAGGCAGAAAAACATTTGCTTTGAAATCAGTGGAGTAGATGTGGAATGTGAGAGTGTGCACTGTCTCACTGCACCGGGTCTCCCATCCACCATGGCAAACTGAATCAGCCTCCAATCCTGGCCTCAGCCCGAAAGCTCACCTGCAGCCCAGCGCTGTAAACAGCCAGTCATCACCACTCTGAGTTCTCATGTGAATTACAATCTGTCATCCCCCTCTTCTAAGTGATCTATCCATGTGATTCATGGGTGGTGCTAACAGCACTGGACTTCAAGCCAGAAGAGCTTGGCTTGGCCCTCGAGCTTAGCTACACTATTTCAGACAAGTCATTAACTTTTATGAGACTATTTGTGTCAAAAAGGAGGGAGCTGAATTAAATAATCCTTAAGCATCCTTCAGCTTGGAAAAATGGTATGGTTTAAAGCTCATGGACCTCTCAGTCTATCAGTTCCATTGCAAACAGAATTGAGTAAAGGCCACAGGTGATTCTTGAGAAGTTGGTACATCTTGAAATTTGGAAGTGTATATTTCTAGACTCTTCTGATTCTTTCTTTTCATCTGTCTGTCTCCATTGACATATATCCCTGAAACCAGACTTTAGGGACTCACCAAAGGGAGAAGGGGAACATTCACTCACATCTGGAGGAGTCACAGGAACCTCCTCCTGGTGAGGTGGATGTGAACGTTCTCACACACTCAGCTCCTCAGATCTCTCCCTTGCTTACCCACCCTGAGTTTGTAAGGCTCGTGTTGTTTTTTTCTCCCTTCCTTTCTTCCCTTTAAGCCTCCTTACGTGCAGAAGGCCCTGCCATCAGGCAAGTTTCAGTACGTGGGCTTCTCTGGGCTCCTAGCCTCGGCCACCCCCGTGCCCTGTGGTGACCTACATCTCTCTCTGTCTTCCAGGCTCCCCTTCCCTTCGGGCATACCCTCTGCTCTCGGTGATCACCCGGCAGCCCACGGTCATCTCCCACCTGGTCCCCACGACTCCAGGAATCGCCCCCGTCTTGTCCCGCCATGTAGCCACTGAGGCTACATCTGCTGAGGCCCAAGGTGGCGAGGCTCTAGCCAGCAGTGAGTCAGAGACAGAACAGCCCACGCCACGGCAGAAGAAGCCCCGCCGGAGTCGCACCATCTTCACCGAGCTGCAGCTCATGGGCCTGGAGAAGAAGTTCCAGAAGCAGAAGTACTTGTCCACCCCAGACAGGTGAGGATGTGGGGAGGGGACTCTACAGGGCACGCTCTTTAAAAGACTCATTTGTTCTCGTATGGGACATCTCATGACAGCAACTCTTTCAGTAATATATGACACTATGAGAGCAGTCATAGTTTTTGTCTCAAGTAGTCTCAGCCTTGGGGTAGCAGGATGCAGTGTCCAAGAATCCACTGCATTTGCCCTGAGTCCGCCCATGGCCGAATGTGTACCCGTCATTCTATTCCACATTTTAACTGGACCACTCCACTATAACAAATGCGGGAAAATGATAAAAATGGTTGTCCAGGCTCTCAGCTGGGAACAGGGCTTGTTTTTTAAGCCACTTGCACTTAGAATCAGGTACATTGGAACTAGATCTGAAACTGGGCTCCGTGACCTCAGTCCTGTCCCCACCCTGTTAGCCTCTGAGCTGAGTCAGTTCCTGGCCTAGCCCTTGATGGGAAGTACTAAACTGACCCTGTCATAGTGAATCTGATGGCTGTCAAGTCAGAACAACTTGGCAGGGCCCAGGTGGAGTTGGAACAGGGTCTCTTCTAAAACGTTTTGAGGACCAGCTGGGGAGACTGTGATCCTTGTTTTCCTTGAAGGCCTCAAAAATCTTATCTCCTCTCTTAAGTTACTGTCTTAATTGCAACATATGCAGGAATGTGTGTCTTCCTTGTTCCTTGAACTCACTTGGGCTTAGCTGAGCTAATGTGTGATCCTTCTTATTAGGAGGGTTTCCCAGGCCATTTTTCTCTTCTTTTGCTCAATGCTTTGTCCCTAACAGCTTCAACAAGTCCTACCAAAGTAATGGGAAGGAGACTCAAGGGAGTTTCTAAAGCCATTTTATTTAGTAGTATGATAAGAAAAAAAAAGTGAAAGAGGAGTCTACAGACCGTCATCTGCAGACAAAAGGGGATTTGTCTATTGAATTCAATAACCAGATACCACTACTATTTGCCGAGAGTTTCCTAGCTTCTGGCTGCTGTGGAAGGTGTCATGGGTCCAAAAACTGGTAGACAAGAGCTCTGCTGTGAAAGAGATCATGGGTGAAGAATGACACAATAGCACACAACAGGGTGAGCCAGGTATTAGGGCCAGTATGGTGCTAAGGGCTGTAGGAACCAACAGATATTGATGTGGATTAAAGACAACTCTTGGAAAGAGGTAATGCTTAAAAAGAGTTTTGATTCAGAGGGACTAGCACACACAAATGGCACAGAATCAAGTTTTGTTGGACATAGCAAGGGAAGTGCACCAATAGAGACATCGCCAACTCACGGTGGGAATGGGGACATTGTAAGAGGTGGGGCTGACGAATGAAAGGAAGACCTCATTTCCTGGCTCAGAAATCTGGGCCTCGCTGCTTAGGTAGTCAGCAGTCACTAAGAGCCAGAAGTGATGTGACAGTGCTAACATTTGAGAACCAGGACTTTGGTGGCACCAGAACTGATGGGTTAAGAGAAGCAAAAGACGGAGGAGGGAAACCAGTTAGGAAAGGATCTGAGGTGCTGAGAGTAGAACAGAGAGGAGAAAATAAATGGGAGAGAAAAACTTGAAGATGGAAAGGGCAGAACTGATGGTGGAGGAAGAAAGGGAACAGAAAGACGAGACCACTATGGTTCCTGGATTGGGCCACCAGTATGTAAGGACATCATTCAGCGATGCAGCAAGAAGCCAGGGGGCAGGGTGGGCTTGGTGAGGAGTAAGTTCTGCTTTGGGTTTACACACTTGGGTGCCTTCAGACAGATATTGTAGACAGGTTTGTGCGTTGGGCATTCAGCTGGGCTTTCCAGACGAAGCCCTTCTTGGATGCGCTGGCAGACAGCTGAGGGCCTCGTGGGCCTCCGTGGCCCTGGGCTTCTTGGGAGCTGCCTGGTGGTGCTGTGCCTGAAAGGCTTCAACACCCAGAAGTAAAATTTCAAACTTACTTTTCAGAAGCCAGAGAACTTTTTGCAGAAATGTTAACTGTCAATAAAGCTCTTGGGGCTTCCCCTTACCTGTCTGGGCACCTCTCAGGTGACCTACACAGAACTGATTCACTTGCCTGGGGAGGAGGACATATCTGGTTGGCTTGCAGCTGCTGCCTGAACGTGCCCTCACTGACGTTCCTCACCTCCCTACGTGACCAGGGCCATGAGCACGCCCTCCTCCCACAGCTCTTCCTCTGTGTTTATTTCTCTGGTTTCCTAGGTGATTCCATTTAAGTGAATATGCAGGGAAGTGAGAATTTGTAATGGTGGCAGGTAATGAGAGAAAGCTGATGACAGTGAAATGTGTTTCTGTAGCCAGAGTGAGTCAAGGATGCATTTTTCCCAAGTGAGCTAATACCATTTGCTAATGCAGTGGCAGAGCTGTGAACCTTCCATTGACTAACGCACCTGATGGCCTCAGGTGAACTGGGCTGGGGAAGGCACTGCCAGAGTCCAGGCAGGACCTGTTGGACTGCTGGAGCCCAGGAGGCCCAGCACATCAGAAGCCTGCAGAATGGTACCCTGGGTCCTTGATACTCAGTGAACAACTGTCGGGATGCAGAGCTTCATTAATGGGAAAAGCTAATCACGTTCAGTCCTAGGAATTTATTGGCTTCTTTCTGTTAGTTACTTTCAATAAAACTTTTAGCTGCAGTTTCTCTTCTACAGAGATGGTGGCTATATGTTAATGCAGAATTAAGACAGGTTCTGAAGTCTGTCAAAGGCACGCTCCGCTTTAGAAATTTGATGTATCTGCTCTAGTCAGAGCAGGGGAGCTGCTGAGAGTACTAAGTATCAACACTTGGTACCTTCAAGACCAGTACCCATGGATCCTGCCAATCAGTAGATGCCCTTGAGAAGAGAAAGCTGCAGCTGAGAACTGGCACTAACTGCTCCCAGTGCTGAGGCTGTCTGCATGGTTTTGTGTGTCAAGTGGCAAGAGACCTGCAAGTGGCTCCTCTCGGAGACCTGGGGCCCTTCAGCGTGGTAGCACCGACCAAACTCTTTACAAGTCCACACTGCTTCACTGGGCACATTGGCACTGCAGGGAGGTAGCAAATATTGCCTCAAGGAGCTGGCCTTCCAGGTGGGGCTCATATGGACCTGGGGTCCAACCCACATGGGTCAGAGGGTATGGCTCTGAGGACTGGAATTGGCTACAAATTGCCTTTCCTTGCTACTTTCCTATTCTGCACTTTGGTTGTTTGTCACTCCCTGGGATGTAGCACCCTGCATATCTTTCTGATAGATCTGACTTGTACAAAAATATTGTGGGTGGGGCTGTACCTTGTTACTGCAGGTGGTGTACAAATCAGATACAAGTGGATCTGAACCCTGCTCCACCTCTTAGTCCTCCAGAGTCTGCTTCCAGGGTCAGCTGAGCGATTCTAGTTAACCTCACTATGAGGAAAACATAAGATAGTGCATTGCAGGTCCATTGTGTGGTGCTCAAACGGTCGGGAGGTGGGAATCACACATGTGAAGAGACTGAAGACAGTTGAGGACGTGGGACTATCTAGCTGGTTGCTGGCTCATGGGAGGAGGCAGAGGAGAGGGACCACAGGAGCCAGAGGCTTCCCTGCTGGAGATGGGCCTTGAACTGGGTCTGGACTGGTGAGTAAGATTCTACAGATGAACAACTTTACCTTTCATTTCAGTTTGGATTTTGGGTCAAAGTATTCATTTCCTGGAGGATCTGAGTGATTAGAGCAGGATTTTGTAATGATGGCTCAGACATCCTTTGTAAATCAGTTGCAGACTAGAAATATTTTTGAAATGGGGACTGCCTCAGCTGTTCTTGGGGTGGCTGCCTGTTCCTTGGCTTCCCAAAATTTCTTCCATAGGACTTTTGGAAGGAAAGAGAAGCCCCTTGGGGAAGAATTAGCTTAAGGGGACAAGTCTAGCATGGAGCAAGTGCCTGGCCTTAGCAAGCAGGCCCCTGTCTCTCTTGCCTTCTCCCACATTCTTCATCTTTCCTTTGCATTTCATGTCTTCTAGGTTGGATTTGGCTCAGTCTCTGGGACTCACTCAGCTGCAGGTGAAGACCTGGTACCAGAATCGCAGGATGAAATGGAAGAAAATGGTAAGAAAGGAAAGTTGGCCTAACCATGTGCCAATCCCAATGGGAAAAACTCTTAATACAGAGCTGTAGGAGGCAGGCAGGACTTTGGTGGTTTGGGCTGTGAGATGGGAAGACCTTTTGAGATGCTGGCTGGGAAGGAGTCAACTTGAACTTGACCTAGATTTCTTAACCCAACGGATATTCTTTTTGAGTTAGAAATCCAAGAACGATCAAAAGCCTCCTAGCTGCTAGTTTGAACCCCATCTGCTGACCTTGTCAAAGGCCTTGCTTCCTGTCTCACCAACAGCTAAGAATAGAAGTGTGTACCTTGTCCCCCTCCCTGTAGTGATAGAGAGCTCATGTCGTCCCTGCAATGCAGAGACCCTTACACTTGGGGGCAGCTAAGTTACTTGGGTAGCTAGCAAGTCTGCAGGAGTCTAGGCCTCCTTCCAAGATTCTGACTGTTGAACTTGTGACAGGGCTGGGGACAGACATGTCAACAACACTCAGGTTATTCTGAGGTGCATGACCTAATGACTACTGTTTCTGTACTATGGCTGTAGTGCTTTTTTGATAAATGCTCCCATCCTTGATTTTTAAATGTACTGAGAACAAATATCTCTACATTTTGTCTACATTTTGAAAGCAACTTGATTTCATTATTGTCTGCCCTTCTTTTCTTTTGGAAAGCACTTAAACTCAAATTTCCCAAAGCAGTTGACTACTTAATTTTCTATGAGGGTAGACACCAGTACAGGTGTTCCCTGACATGAGACGCCCCCCAGCCTCACCCACGCTTACTGACTCTTTCTGCTCCATATGGACCAGAACACCATGCCTTCCTCAGGATAGTTCAGTTTGCTAACATATCTGGTCACAGTTGTATTTTGTGGTATTGTAAAGACAGGAAAATGTCATCTTTCAACAATAAGCAATTTACAAGTTGGGACTTTCTTTGCTTATCCTTGGTACTGCCCAATAGTATTGAAAGGGAAGAATAAACTACATATTAATGGGCATGCAAGTGAATATTAATGGGAAAAATTAGAAAAAAAATCAACAAGCAGCAGTTCTTATATTCCCAGAAAGAAAATCCTGAGCAGATTCATAATCTCCTTTGGGGGATCCTGATTTGTGACGGCTGTTTTCAAATGGAGGTGACTTAGCTCAGGAGGCTGCTCACAAAGCAAGGCAGAGACACTAGTTGCATGGATAAACCACCACATGTGGTATAAATAAACAGAAAGAACATATTTTGTGTCTCCTGTGAGTCATGCCTTGTCCTGGGACTATGGGAAGTAATGAAATAAAATGTAACCCTAGTCTTCATGGAATTTATGACCTCGTTAGGAAATGCAGGCAGCAGAGGAGAGGACATTAGTATGAAGCCCTGGTTTTAGACTGACTGACCTCTTATGAGTGCAGCGGAGAGGTGCTGAGGAAGGTTGGGAGACAAGTTGAAATTGGAAGACCAATGAGATTCAGTGAAACAGCCAGCCACTGCAAACACTCCGCAGCGCTACGCACCTGAAACTCAGGGTGGAAAGCATTTGGGGGACTGTTCTCTGAAAGAACCAGACTGGGGAGTGAGGATTGCTGGGCCGCGTTCCCAGGCTCACCAGTCCCTGGCTGGCTTGGGGCAAGTCCCTTCAGAGCTCTCCGCAGAGGCTCCACCACCTACTCCAGCTTCGTCAGTCATCGTCATTGGAATCGGTGTCTCCTGAGCAGCAGAGGCATTGTTCAAATTGGTTATCAGTAATCTGCTCATGAGTCAGACGACTGAGGCACTGACAGCCCGGCCTTGCTGCTGGAACCGCCCAGTACCTGTAGGAAGACGCATGCGCCTTCGCCTCTGACGTCACTTGTTTTTCACCAGCCACTGTGCTGCTGACAGTTTGTGGGCTGGTTGGTAAATACTTATGGATACCAAATAAATCAAAATGGAAGTATCTCAGCAGAATTAACCTCAGAGAGTGTTCTGGGCCAACTAGATTCAGGAACCTTTAGGAAACACAAGAGGCAAGCTTTTCATTTCACACTAGTAATAATTCATAGCTTCATTAGGCAGTGCAGATGCAGAGACAAAGAACGAATCTGACTGTTAAAAAATACAATAAAAAAGGATGGACTTTATACTATGTAGAGAGACCAGGACAACTGTGGGATGATTTATGAGAGAGAGAGAGAGAGAGAGAGAGAGAGAGAGAGAGAGAGAGAGAGATTGATTCAGAATCAGGACAGAGAAGGGAAGAATTCACAATTCCCAGAAGAGGCACCACTTAAATGAGTTTTAGTGGATAAACAGAAATGTGCGTGATGAAAGTGGGAAGGAATTCAGGTAGGAAGTAGGGACAAGAGTCCTTGAGTGCACTTAGGCATTTCAAAATGGCAGGCGCTACCTGTGAGGGACTGTGTTCCACTGGGAATCTGGAACCTGACTGCCTTGGAACAGCAAGGCATTGTTGAGATTTGGATTGCTTCATCTGTTTTCCTGGTAAAACTCTTTCAAGGCTATCTCTTCAGGTACTGAGAGGAAAAGAAAAAGATAATTGGGTAATAAAGATGTCTCAAGGCTAGTAACCTAATTGGAACTGGAAAAAGATTAGCACTTGTTTCTCATACTTATTCACACGGCTGCCAACGACTACCTGCCAAAACCAAGATACCATCTTCAACTAGTTTTGACTGGTCAGCATTTGTAATCTATAGCGGGTTGGGTAAATTTACTCTTGCACATTAGATGGGACACTCACCCTCTATTCCATTTCTGTTGACATTAGCTCCAGTAGGATCCACAGGGTTTTGCAACAGGCTGAAAGCATCTTATTATGTGGTCTTGTTTCAGCTTTAAAATACAGTGAGATGATCCAAATGGATACCACATTCCTCTCCCACTTGCAGAATTTGTGTGGGCCACACACCTCCCACCATCATTATCTTGTGCACTGAAAGTCCCAGATAGCCGAGAATTCTGTGAAATCATTACCAATTACTATCTATGTAATCTTGGACAGGTTCCTTAACCTGTGGGTGCCTCGTATGGAAAATGACTAACATGTATCTTATAGAGTTGTTTTATCAACTGAGCTAATTTCTATAAAACATTGAGAACAGTGCAGGCCATGTAGGATGAAGCCAAGTGATGTTAGCTGGCATTATTATTGTTGTTATTTATCTATCCCCATAATCCATATCTTAAAAGAATACAACCTTTTGGAGGTTAACATAGATTAAACTGAAAAAAATTCTATGGGTTTCTGGGACCCTGAGCTATTCTCCTGGATAAGAGTAGTCCTGGGTGTTTGGCATTTGGGGTCCTGTTTGAAGTGTAACAGAGCATCCTGTTTTCGGGCTGTGACAATCAGCTAAGGTGAGCAGTAACGTTCTCGGAGGAGATTTATGCTGGAGCATCCAGACTTGTTTTTCTCAGCTTCATGGACCTTCCATCAGTTACATGGCCCATGCACTTCTAAAAAGCCACAGATAGGAAAAAGGAGCAAAAGGCATGCAGGTCAAGAGGCTACTGCTCAAAGTCTGCAGGGACGTGGGACAATTGCAGATAAGCGTCAGACACAGGAGAAGGAGTATTACATTTTCTGTGTCCCTTATGTATTGTACAGAATAAAATACTGTTAAAATGCTGTTAATGGGAGCTAATATTGAATTCGAATAGTTAAGGGTGCTGTGTTCAAATTCCAGCTCTTGACTTATTCTTTGATCCTGACAAGCCTTTTCTATCAGCTGTTTCCTGTCTCAGAAGGAAAGCAAGGAGAAGGTTCCCCTCTGCCCTGATATTCTCCACTCTCTAACCATACTGCTTGTCCCCCACCTAAGTACCGTTAAAAGGAAGCAAAAGACCATCTTCAAATCCTCAGTGGCAGAGATTTGAATGCCTTGCTCTAGAATTTGGAAGAAAACTGTCAGCAGCCAGAGCTAATAAAAGCAGATGGTGTGCTATGTGTTTCTCCAAGAAACAAAGAGAAGCATAGGATATCTGGTTCAGTGTGTGTCTGGCATCACTGGACCAAGGGGGCAAATCAGTTCTAGGAATAGCTGGGGAGGAGGACTCCTGGGCGGAGGGCTGCAGGGTGCACAGGAGTGTAGTTCCTGGTGCAGAGAGGTTGGAAGATAATTGCATGTCTCAGGTGTGCTTGGAAGCAGGGGCCAGAGGTTGATGTGGAAAGCAGCCAATAGTGTAGTTATCTCCTAATTATTGCTTGCACTGGAATGTTTTATTCCATTTAAAAATGGTCTGATTGTTTTGATTTCTTTTTCATGCGTAGGAAAACAGCCAGATGAGATCGATCCAAGTTGTGTGGGTGGTGTTCTCTAATTGCTGGGCTGGACTTTCTTTTGCCAATTAGGTGGCTTCCTTAGACCTGCCCTTTTAAAAACATGATTACTACATGGGGCAACTTACTTTTGTATAACCTCTTTCATACCCAGTGGAGCTGCTTTCAACAGGTAAATTCCATCTTGGCACACTCAGGCACTTTCAAAAGCCTGTGCTCAGACTGAAATCAAAATCAGATACTGACTTACCTGAAAAGGAGTGCAGGGACATCTTCTCCCCAGAGATGTTTTCTGTCAGCATGCATACCTTATAAAAAGTCTCTTCACAACTCTGTGTTAGCTCTTTAGGTGCATTCAAACAGACAGAGTGGATTCTAAAAGGAGATGTTTATTGGAGAACATACGGTTTTCCTCATACTTGTACACAAAAATTAATCCAAAATTTATGATAGAGCTAAATGTAGAAACTAAAATTATAAAAATCTTAGAAGAAATCATGAATAAATATTTATAATATGAGATTAGACAAACTTTCTTTGATATGACACTGATGGCATAAACAACAACAAAAATCAAATTGAACTTCATGAAAATTGTAGTCTTGTGTACTGTGAAGGAAGTCACCAAGAAAGTGAGAAGGCAACCCATAGAATGGGAACGAATAGTTACAAAGCTTATATCTGATAAGGAACATTTAAAAATATTTAAATAACTCTTAGAACACACTAAGAAAGAGATAGCCAGCTTTAGAAAGGGTAGGAAAGGATTCGAATAGACATTCTTCCAAAGAAGATATACAACTGTCCAATAAGCACATGAGAAGATCCTGAACTTGATTAGTCATCAAGGAAATGCAAATGAAAATCTCAATAAGAGACCACTTTGCAACCACTGGGATGACTATAATCAACAGGTCATAACAGCAAGTGTGGTGAGGATGTGGAGAGCTAGAATCTGTGCACACGGTTGTTCGGAATGAAAAATGGTGCAGCTGCTCTGGAAAAACAGCCCTGAAATGTTAATATTGTTAAGCATAGAGTTTTGGTATCATTCAGCAATTCCATTTTTGGGTGTATACCCACGAGAAGTGAAAGCAGGAACTGGAACAGATATTTGCATACCCATGTTCATTCTATCATTATTCACAATAGAAAAAGGTAGAAGTGACCTGAGTGTCCATCAACAGAAGGAGGAATAAACAAACACAGTATGTGACTAAAACCAAAAGTCCTTTGCTTATACACAGTGCAATAGACGAACTTGAGAACGTTCTGCCAAGAAAAAGAAGTCAGTTACAAAAGTCCGCATATCAACTCTTTTCTCTTTCTTTCTTTCTTTTTTTTTTTTTTTTTTTTTTTTTTTGTATTTTAGGGAAGAGTCTACAGGGTGTTCAGGGTCTCACTGCTAGATAGGACTTGTAGAGATCTGCCTGTTTACAGCCTCCCAAGAGCTGGGATTACAGAAACACACCACCACCACCACACCCCAGTTGTGTCTCAGCACCCTGGGGGCAGGGCAGGCACAGCAGGCCCTGGGAATCGAGCCCCACTTTAATCCGCTGAGCTTTTTGCTCCGCCCAAGTCCACATATCAAATGATTCTATTAATATGAAATGTCCAGGATAAGCAAATCTGTGAAGAGAAGAGACAGAATTGATGGTTGTCTAGGGCTGTGTTCAAGAGGGGGAGGAATGCAGAGTACCGCTGACGGGCACGGAGTTCCTATTGGTGGTGACGAAAGCATTCTAAAGTCGCATTGCGTAGGAGGTGACCGACTTGGTGACTGCACCAAAAGTTACCACACTGTGCACTTGAGACAGCTAAACTGTGTGAGGAGTGAATTACAGCCCAAAGCTGCTCTGTAGAAGCACTTGTGGTTTGATAGGTTGCTGTACTCACTCTTAAAATTCAACGTGTGGAGGAACTCTGCTGTTCTTGAAGAAAAGAGACATTGTCAGTAGATATTACTGACTGCCTAGAAAGTTTATTGGAAATAGATTTTCCTAGGAGAGATACAGAATTTGTCTTCCAGGAACTTCCGTATGACTAGGGGAAATAACGTGAGCAACTGTAGTGCTGCAGTTTGTGTCTGGAATGTTCCTTAGAGACCCATGTTTAAAGGCTTGGTCCTCAGCTTGATGCTGTTGGAAGGTGATGGGTCTTTAAGAGGCAGAGCCTAGTAGAAGGGAGTTAGGTCACTGGGCATGGACAGCATCTGCCCTTTCCTGTCTCCCTCTCTCCCTTTGCCTCCTGGTCACCACGAGGTGAGCAGCTTCTTTTTCACCATACTCTTCCTACTATGATATACTGACTCGGTGCAAGCTCCAAAGCAATAGACGAAGTGTCAACAAACTAAAACCTCCTAAAATATGAACCGGAATAAAGCTTTCCTCCTTCTAAACTGACTTATGTTAGGCATTTTCTTACAGAGATGTAAAGCTGACTCATAGAGTAAAAGGAACAGAGATCTCTCTCACTCCTCAGTCTCTGTTGACTCCAGGTCCTTCTCACTAGCTGCCGAGAAAATCAACTACATCAAGCCAGGTTTTGGGAAAAAGTACTGTCTGTTACATTCCAAAATAAAACATTAAATAGAAAAATTTACCCTTTTCTACATGAGGGATTCTTGTGTAGAGCACAAACTGGGTTAACAAATGTGCAAGACCTTCGACATCAGCAAAGGCCACTTGGGGTGCAGTTCTTCTGCTTGCTTTGTGTGTCCCTTCAACTCTTTGGAAATGTTAATTAGAAATGTTGATTTGTTCCATCGCAGTTATCAAATACCTGCTGCATGCAGAGACTCAATGGGAGAGGCAGGCAAGCAAGCATGCAGAGACAGCTTTTAATGAAAAACTCCTAGGGCACATGCAAAGAGAACTGGACTGTCATAGGGAAGCAAGCCAGGATTCCAGGAGAAGCCAGGCGTGTTCTAAGTTGAGGAAATCTGCCAGTCAGAAACTCGTCTAGCCCTCTCACATATACTACCTGCTGGCTACCCTCAACTCACCCTGTGAGATTTCTATCTTCATGTTTCAGATCAGAAAACTGAGATGGCCTCTTTAAAGGACTTTCACACAAACAAAGCTGATAAATGTCAGAAACTATTTTCCTGACTCTCAGCATTAGGATGCTTTTTACCATATTTTATTACTTCTTTGAACAACACAAAATGATATTTTTATAGCTTCTTTTTTTCTGATATTAGAAACACTTATACACAATCCTTGTTGAAAATTTATAAAATACACAAAGAACACAAAAAGATAAAAAAGTTTTCCAAGATCTAAGCACTATAAGCTGTATAGTTGTCTAATGTATAGTTGTGTGATGTATAGTTGTCTAATGTATAAATTAGACTCTGTTAATAGACCGCCTTTTGAAAAAATATACAATCAGAGCAAATTAAATTCAGTGGCTAGGTTAAATGATGATCTTATGGGGAATTGTGGTCTGGTTCTCATCCAGTTTGGTTTTTGACCAGAATCATGGAAAGAATTAAGTTCATGAACTGAAGCACCACTATATTTGTAAGATTTTCAGTGTCTTTAGACACCCTCCTATGTAATAGTATGATGATTATCAAATATTCTTTCTTTGAGACATACTATAATTGTCTACCCAGTTACATGGCTACACTCTAGGGTACCCCCCCAAAAGAATCTTTTGCTATTATAACTGATAATGTAGTGAACATTTTGAACTTAACTTTTCTTTCAGTCTTAAGTGCCATTTTAGAATTTATGCTAAGGAATTTCCATGTCAAAAAGGTTTCATATTTTGGGCTTTTGATTTGAATTCTCAGATAGTCTTAAAAAGGTTGTATTAATTATACTTTTATATTAGGGTATAATTGTTTTCCCTCTTGCCATAAACATTGTCCTTTTAACTTGTCAACATGACTTAAAACATTAATGTTTTAAGTTTTATTTCTTATTGAATTATTTATTTGGGGGACATGCAGGGACCCACGATGGAGCTATATCCACAGCCCCCTGAAGTTGTTTTTCCTGTGTAGGTGATCATGTTAATAACTGCCCAAGTTAGGATATTGACTAAAAGTACATGAAGCCCGAAAGTAGACCACAGGAGAGGATCACTCTAAAAATGTTTTGCCAGATCCTGTACCATTGCTTGTGGGAAGGAAGGTTTAGATGCTGTGTGAAGTTGTATGGAGAGTGGGAAAATGATGGAAAGGAGTTATTTCTTAGATTCTGTAACATTTTTTTTTCTCAAATAGGTTCTTAAAGGTGGACAGGAAGCACCCACAAAACCTAAAGGTCGTCCCAAGAAGAACTCCATCCCTACATCAGAAGAGATTGAAGCTGAAGAGAAGATGCACAACCAGGCCCAGAGTCAGGAGGGCCCAGAGCTCTTGCAGGGATCTGAAGAGCCCTGTGAGGCGCAAGAACTAAAAGCATGTGATGTTCCCTTGGAAGTGGCAGAGCCGCCAGGCCAGCCCCAGGAGCTGCCAGGAGCCTCTTCCAAACCACCGCCATTAAGCTAAAATAAAACTCTTGGGGGGAAGGGGAGACTGGGAAGAAGGAAAAAGTGAAGGCAGAGAGACCAGGGTGAGAAACACCTCTAACAGCCAGGCCAGCTTGCCTCTCTCCCACCCACTGTTCTCAGCGGCACCTTCATTGGAAGCATCTGAAGAAGACTTGCTTGTCTCAGACTGTCCTCTTCCTGGAAGGCTGCGTAGTAAGCCATACATGCCCTTGATTGAGAGAGACAGTGCCTTGAGCTCCTGCCCCCCAGGGTGACAGCTGCAGGGCTGGATAGACACGGCACACTAGCCTGCAGAAGGTCTCGCCCAGCTGCTCCTTGACCCTGGGCAGCCAGTGGTTAAAGCTGGCTAGAGAGGAGGAGGTGCTTGGACAGCCTGCCCAGGCTCCTGGCTGACTCAGCACTTATTTCTATAGTTTTAAAAGAATTTAATGTTTTGGGGGGTTTTTTGTGGGGGGAGGAGGAGTGGGCAAGCAAAAGAGTTGGAGGAAGGGAGGGATAAGTTCTTAGAAATGTTTCTGGGTAACATTGTTTGTTTGTTTGGAGACATGTGTGCCTTTGTACCCGTTATGATAAGATGGTCAGGTGACCAAGAATTGATAAGCTTTGTTTTTCTTGCTTCTTTTAGTTACCCTCCCTGAAGCTGCCAATGCAGATATGTTAAGATAACTTTTATTTTTTAATTAAAAATAAATCTTGCAAAAGGGTTGAATGTTGTTTCTTCTGGGGGTGGGGTGTGTGTGTGTGTGTGTGTGTGTGTGTGTGTGTGTGGTGTGTCTCTAACTCTCCTGAATGCGTTCTATGGGAAGAAACCAGAAAGACAGCTAGGCTCCCTGATCCTTCTTGCCTCATCTACAAAACAAAAGCCTGGGTCAGGCCACCTGAGCCCTGGTGCCAGGAGCCTTGGAACTCAGTGTGGGGACAGGCTTGAGGAAGAGGCAGTGCATCCACTCGCCTCACAGGCAGCTGCGCTACATTCTGAGCTTCCAGCTCTGACAATACTTTTTAAGAGAGGAAATGTGGGGGCCGGGGAGATGGCTCAGCGGAATAAGCGCTTCGCTGGCAAGGGCCTGAGTTCAATCCCCGGTTCTGCAAAAAAAAATAAAAAATAAAAAAAAAAATAAAAAAAAAATAAAAAATAAAAAAAAAAATAAAAAAAAAATAAAAAATAAAAAAAAAAATAAAAAAAAAATAAAAAATAAATAAATAAATAAATAAAAATAAAGTAAAATAAAAGAGGAAATGTATGTGTAAGCTCCCAAAGTCAAACTTCATGAAAAGAAGTCATGCTTCTGTACTGTCTTCTTACCCTATATCTTATAGGTAATCATTTTTTTGGTTCCTTATTTATCCTTCCACTTTTTTATGAAATATCCATTTGGACAGAAGACGGGCTCTGGAGCTTTTGCAAAAGAAGGTTTGAGAACAACTTGGTTGAATCTACTTAGTAACTTTAACATTAAAAGCGCTATCCCAGCTTGCAGTACACCTTGGGCTAGATTGTGTGCCTAGCATGTGTGAGGCCCTGGGCTTCATCCCAAGCACTGCAAAAGGAACAAGAAAAGGAACAAGAAAAAAAAAAAGTAAAAACAACAGCCTATTTTTTAATAACACCGGGAAAGATGTGGGCACCGACATTTCCGAAGGGAAGACTGTCTCCCGCCGCCCTCCCTCCTCCCTGTCCGGTTCTCATGGGCTCTGGCTCCGAGGCCTGATTTCCCAGGGGTCACCTTGGGGTTGTTTCCATGATGCCATGAAGGATAGAGTGCCCAATTAGTGGATGCCAGTCACTCACTGCGCAGACGTTCTGCCAAGTGGAGGCATGGAGAACACCAACCAGATTTAACAGGGACCTCGACCAAGAGGCAGAACCTGTTACTAGTGCTGTAAAACAATCATATAATTCATTTCAGAGTTAAACAGGAAATCTCTGCATGCTTTCAATCACCTGGCTGCCTGCTTCTCCTCCTTAATGCGGACAATCAGAGAGGGACTGGAGTTTGGACATGGCCACAGCAGTGCTTCCGTCCCCTTTGCTGTTGGGCCCCAAAAAGAGAAAGCAGCCTTTCTCTTAGCTCTCGTGAATAGACAAAGGAGTTAAGGACTTGGCCTCTGAGAACCAGTTTGCACAGACCACACCTCACTGCCTGTGCAAGGTTGTTTGTGCTGAGGGTGCAGAAAGATCTCTCCCTCACCTCTAGCCTACCCCGCAGTACGATTTCATGGCCAGACTACCAGGTGGTGTCACAGTGAGGCAGCGTATATACAATGGCTGAGGACAGCAGGTGGCTCTGTGCCAGGTTCGTCCCATGTTGCAGGAGCTGTTCTGTCCCATTCATCCTGCCCCAGAGAGGCCTTCTGTTTGGATGCTGGCTTCCTGGGATGAGCTTTGGTCTCTTTTTCTGAGCTCTCATGGTGTCTGGTAGTGACTGTCACCGAACAGAACCTTGTGCACACGCACACTTGCTAGTGCGGCTGAGTACTGGCTCCAGGTTCTTGACATTCAGGTCTCACTCCATGGCCTGTCCTTTTGGGTTTGTTTCTTGCTCCTCGGGGTTGAAGATACTTTACTGGTGAATTTAAGACCTGAGATTATCTTTCCTTGTGTTCTGGAGGGCCCAGCCTAAGGTTCTGTCCCTTTGTAAGCCTCCAGCCTATTCTCCAGACTCAGGTTGCATGGATTTGCCCAGTGATTCAAACAGGGACCAGGCTTGGTCTTTAAAAATAATCTTGGGCACTGGATTTAGGGGTTGGATTTAGCCCAGCACCTTGCATATGTTAGGTAAGTGCTTGACTGCTGAGCTTCATCCTCAGCCATGAATATTTTAAATTGGCAAATAAAAGTTTTACATATTTAGGTGTCATGAAATGTGTACATGTTATGGAACAGCCTTATCAGGCAAATTTGTGCATCACATACTTAATCATTTATTTTTTGTGGTGAGAACACTAAAATCTACTCTCTTAGTGATTTTTCAGTGCGCAGTATGTTTATAGTTATCTTGTGCAACAGATCTCTTGAGCACATTCCTCTTTCCTAACCTGAATTTTGTATTCTGCAGCCAGCAGCTCAATGCTTGCTAGGCAGTCTGTACACTCTCACCTCCCGGCCTCACTGCAGTCTCTGGTGAAAACGATCTACCTCTATTTCTGGGTGGTCAACTCTGAGCTTGCGGGAAACCAAACTGGATTTTTTTGGATCCTGATACAGAGACACCTTGGCCTCTTCTGTTTAGTAAGGTCTCTCCTTTAGGAGACTGGGAGAAACACTGTATAGAGGGGACAGCGAATCTGTCATGCAAATGCTGCTGGCTTGTAATGATTAAAGCCCAGATGCTGATAACTGCTTTTCCCAGCTTTCTGCTGTGGCGTTCTTGCATATTCCCTGTCTCTGAGGGGAGGTTCAGATCTCAATACGAGAAGATATAGAGCTCACTCTACTCTCATAATGATTAATATTGCAGCTACAAGTGCCACGATGCATCTGACTGTGCCCAAATTAGGGAAGAAAAAAGTGACATGCTGATTGATCCCTTGAAATCTCTCCTTCCCATGCATACAGCCTCCTCAAAGCCCACTCCTACTGAAATCCCAGCTATCATACTTGATGAGAAGGTGTCTATAAAACATGAGCTCCTCTTCTCCACTCATTGGCCATTAAATAAAATGTCCTCTCCATCCCCAGAACTGCTTCCTCATGTGCGTGTGGAACCAAATACAAGAAGACCTGCAAATTTGGTAAATGGTATTGAGCAGAAAACCCTGCAAGTTGGATAGCAAAGTGAGGTTAATGTTTTTCTTGGGTCCTTGCAGTTGCTCTCGAGTCATGCTGAGAGCCAAGCCCAGGGGATGATTCACTGTTCCCTGCAGCCCTCATCATTAGGGTGTCCTCATACTTTGTGATGGAACCACAGTTAGTCTTAGTATGGGAATGCTGATGGCTTCCCTGACTCAGCTCCCACATGGGCATCGTTTCTGTTAGAGCACAAAGGAAACCTGGAGCAGGTCCCAGACTGTCCACAGCATCCCAGGTCACCCATCTAATCATGGGCTTGTGTTCTGGGCACTGGGCACTCCAGATTGCTCAAAGGTCATCGGCAAGAATTTGCTAAGACACAACACTCAGCCCTCAGTAACCAAATGAGTGCTATGGTATAAGCCATGAGTCTTCAAACTAGGCTGAATAGATGAAAAACCAGCATTAAGCAGGGAAGCTTTGAGTTTTTCTAGAACTGCCTTCAAGTTGAGGTCTGAGTTCAATGTGAGCCTTTCTTCCCACCGTAGAGTACTTAGAGTTGACCATCGTTTCATGACCTTTCAATTTCCTTCTGTTCAGCTTCATCCCTTGCCCCATGAGGCAGGCCTGGGTTATAACTGAACTAGGGGTCTGGGCTCCATCCTTAACGGAAATAGTGCTTTGTCAGCTGGCCTGGGTGTCCACCCAGCATAGATGCAGCAGTCACTCCATTACTTGCATCTGCCTTAAATGCCATCCTGGGCCTCCCCCTACTCTCTCTCCTGCCCATGTCCATGACTAGGTTATTTTCTCATCCTTGGAAATTTTCTGTGCATGTCCTTCAGTTTCATCCCTAATTCCACAGGAAACTCCATTTTCAGGCTCTTGAGGCAGTTTGTGCTTGTATTGCCTAAAGCTCTGAGTGCCATCTTTACGTAAACATCTCCCTTCAGGGCCACACTGCTCGCTCCTCCAATGCACAGAGGTATCTATTCCTCCTCTTGGGCTCTTTGAAGTCAATGTGCTCTCTGTCCAAAAGACAAAGTCCTTCCCCTACCCACATTGCCACTCTTCCTCACACCTTTTGACGTCATACTCTGAAGTCACCTCTTCCCTAATTAACTTCATCTCTTCTCCGGTCCAACCTGTTCACTCCTCTCTCACCTTTCCTCTTAATGCACCTTTTGTAACTACCACTGTGGTTCTGCCATTTTTCCAAAGAGGACACAGATTCCTTTTGTTTCCCTAATAGAGTATGAATTCCTTGAGGCTGTTGTTCAGCTCATGTGTTCTCAGTTCTTTTTCTCTGCAGAGGTCTACAAAGGCCTAAGGATTCTGGTTTCCTGATGATTTATATCTTGGAGGGCTGGAAGTTTGTGCTTTCTGTAGTTAGGTAGGTAGAGCCCACTGTAGTGAGCCTTGAGGCCCCCAGTCATAAGCACCTCTTCTGATCTTTGGCCACCACCAGAGCAGCATTCATTGTCCTAGGGCAACAGGGTGGCCAAAACTTCTCATCAGAGACAAGAAGGAGCTGGACCCAAACAGCTCTGCTGTCTGCTAAGTGCTCTCTGTCTCCAGTGGAGCATTGCTGGGCCAGTTTGCCCAAGGGAAGCTGTGTGGCCAGAGAGTCATATTGGAAAGCCCTTCAGGACATGGGGCAGTTTACTGCCAATTATACAAGCTCCTTCTGAGAAAGACATTCAAAGGGCTCTGAAGAAAAAGCCCTTGTAAGATTTTCCCTAAAAGAGGTCCAGAGCAGTGTTGCAAGCGACAGCCCAAGGAGGTCATCTCTACTGAGGCCTTTGTCTAAAACAAAAATTAAAATCTTGTCTAGATCAAAGTGATCTGGTGACGGATGGCAAGGCTAGCTTGGCCTGTGACATTAAGAGGCGGTTTACTGCAGGTAAATTCCTCCTGAAGTGGCTGGAGGGGCTAGAGCAAGAGGTTCAAGATGTACC